TGCGGCCCGGCTGCTCCCCGAAAGGGAAGGGGGGCTGGATGCCGCATCTCAGCGGCTGTGCGTGAGTCAGGGCGTGCGGTGGCCTCTCGCACTCGGGCGTCTCGTTGCCTCTGCGTGGGACCAGCCGTCCTCACGAGTGACATTTTACCTGGGTGGACATTTTACCTGGGTGACCTCGGCACTGTTGACACCAGGACCGCCATTCCTGGCTTCCTGGTTGTCCTGAGATGCTGACCCTTAGCGTCGGAAACGTGGCCAAAACCTGAGTTAGCTTTGCGCTGTTACGGCGAAGGTGAAGTCTGTTTCAAATCCTACAGCGCTTGTTAGGCCGGTTTTCGTCTTAGCAGCCGCATCAAATGCCCGTTTTTCTCTTTTATTAAGACCCCCCCTCCCCCCCGCCCACCTTCTTAGCCTTTCCGCAGTCGTTGTGTTTCTACTTGGGAAGGTAATTTAAATGTTTCGACTGCATGATGGTGGCTGTAACATTTCAGTAGAGCGTAAGATGACTTTTTAAAAGGATTGGCTTCACCCGAGACTCATTTCTTTTCCCTCCTAGGTTTTTGAAGCATGAATGCGTCACTCTTCCTGGCTGTCCTTGGCTTGGGAATAGCCTCAGCTTTTCCAAAACTCGATCAAAATTTAGACACAGAATGGTACCAGTGGAAGGCAACGCACAGAAGACTCTACGGCATGGTTGGTCACATCTGAAACGGTTCACCGGGACTCCCGGGGAGAATGGTCTTTGCTGTTGGGAGTTTATAGCCAAAGAGTAACTTCTAGAGGCCAGCTCTTACCAGTCACCCTAATATAGTAGCCAAATGACGCCCATTATGAGCACGGTCTGGACACTTGTGCCTGTGGTGTCTTGGCTTGAAGAACAGCTCCCAGAAGTATCAAGTCTTCCCTGGCCGTGGTTTCTGACTCCAGATTCACCTGGTGAGCAGCGCTTGGGTTTTAAGTAGAAAGAAAGACCATCTGTTATATGTTTGTCTCTAGAATGAAGAAGGGTGGCGGAGAGCAGTGTGGGAGAAGAATATGAAAATGATTGAGCTACACAACCAGCAGCAATACAGCAATGGGAAACATGGCTTCACGATGGCCATGAACGCCTTTGGGGACATGGTGAGTGCAGTGTGGCTGACCGAACTCTGTGCTTCCTCTCCTCAACTCAACTCAGATAATCACTTGCTTTCCAATTTTGTGTTTACGTTTCCTTGAAGACCAACGAAGAATTCAGGCAGATGATGAATGGTTTTAAAAACCAGAAGCACAAGAAGGGAAAGGTGTTCCGGGAGCCTCTGTTTCTTGAGGTCCCCAAATCTGTGGACTGGAGGGAGAAAGGCTACGTGACTCCTGTGAAGAATCAGGTAAGGCGGTGTCAGATCAGGCCTCCCATCTCTACGGGAAACCAAGAAGCAATTGGCATCATTGCTTTGGTAGACTGTGGCGCAGCACACAGTTTGCTGTTTTGTTTTGAAGGAGTGTTCGGATATGTCGGTTCTCGTTTTGTCAGTTGCTGTTTTGTAAGCTGACAGTTTTTCGATTCCCTTTTCAGGGCCAGTGTGGTTCTTGTTGGGCATTTAGTGCCACCGGTGCCCTCGAAGGACAGATGTTCCGGAAAACAGGCAAACTTGTCTCACTGAGTGAGCAGAACCTGGTGGACTGCTCTCGTTCTCAAGGCAACGAGGGCTGTGAAGGTGGCCTAATGGACAATGCCTTCCGGTATGTTCAGGAGAACGCAGGCCTGGACTCGGAGGAATCCTACCCATATTTAGGAAGGGTAAATGAAGCTCTTTGTTATTATTATTATTATTATTACTTATCATTCTAGCTCTGCTTCTGGAAGGTGGAACACTTTCAGAGATAACAGCACCTTTTTCAGAACTCACATGTTAGATGGAAGAATCTCTGCAAGCTGTCAGTACTGTTATTATAAATGATTAGCCTTTGCACGGTTATCTGGTTAGGTGGGTAACAACTAATGGTTAGCATATAACTAACATCAGATGGTTAACATATAGCTGTTCTTGCTTCTGTGTGACAGAGAATGTAGAAACCATTCTACATAGAATAGAAATGTCTCCATTGTGAAAAATTTCTTAGGAACAGGTAAACCTACAGGGTCTGATTGGGAAAACATGAGTTAATGTTTCAGGTTTGCATCAACTAATAGCATTTCACTTCCTGGGATGATTTATAACATTGTTCATTTGTAAATCCTAAGCTGCAGGTTGGTGAGTGCTTGGTTCTAAAACTCACGGAGATGATTAACCGCTGATGGTTAACATATATATAGCTAACATCAGATGCTTAACATGTAGCTGTTCTTGCTTCTGTGTTGCACAGAGAATGTAGAAGCCATTCTACATATAGTAGAATTCTCTCCGTTGTGAAAAAAATTCCTTATGAACAGTTAGACCTGGGGGTCTGGTTGAAGAAACATCAGCTGATGTTTCAGTTTGAAACCAACTAATAGCATGTCACTGCCTGGGATGATGTACGATAGTGTTGACTTGAAGTCCTAAGCTGCACCTTGCTGCGTGTTTTGGTTCTAAAATGCGTGATCCCTAGGAGGTGGGTGGGAGTAATGAAATCTCTTCCCTTTGAAAGGATGGACACTGTAATTACAAGCCTGAATATTCCGTCGCGAATGACTCTGGCTTCGTGGACATCCCTGTTCGGGAGAAGGCCCTGATGAAGGCAGTGGCGACCGTGGGGCCCATCTCTGTCGCTATTGATGCAGGCCACGTGTCCTTCCAGTTCTACAGAGAAGGTCGGTGTTTGTCATTTTATTCTAGAAATTTAGGCAGACTTTGAAAACACCGCCATGATTGACGCTTTAGTATGGAGTCCTTCTTTCCAGGATTTTGAGTATGTGCATGTAACATAGTGATGTTTCCTTTTGACATAATTAGGCATTTTCTCGTGGTTACACACTTTGCATAAACATTCTTACATGACTGTGTAATTCTATAGATACAACCTAACTTACCTAACTATCCTCTCATTGTTGGATTTCTAAAAGTTTTTACTGTTGCAATTATTCCATGTTCTTAGGGTACTGTTTTAGACCAAAATCCTAGAAGTAGAAAGGGATCATGCCTATCAGTATTTGGGCTGGGCCATAAGTGCCTAAATCACCTTGGCCTTGAAAACAATAGATCTTATCTTTTGGCCTTGAAACAATAGATCTTATTTTTGTGTGTGTGTGTGTGTGTGATAGAACTGGGCCTTACTGTGTTGCCCCGGCTGGTCTTGAACTCCTGGCCTCAAATGATCCTCTACTCCCCACCAAAACTGAGGATTAGAGTTGTAACTGAGGATTAGAGGTGTAAACCGCCACGCCCAACCTTTTCGTTTTGTTTTTTAATTGGTAAATATCCTGAACTTAGTTAAAGTTTGCTAATTTCTGGTGATTTGAGTGATTTCTGGTAAGTGGAGGTTGACTTTTTTCTGTCAGTCATTACTGCTTTTGTGCAAAATTTTTGAAGCCCTTTTTGCCATGTTTCTGATATTTCACTGAATTTAGAGGTGCCGCCCTCACTGTGGATGATAGTGGGTTACTGTCACGTGTTACTGGAGCTTCTTACCCCAATGTGGATCTTCTTCTCCCAGGCATTTATTACGAGCCAGACTGCAGCAGCCAAGCTCTGGATCACGGTGTTCTGGTGGTCGGCTTTGGCTGCGAAAGAAACGATTCAAGTAATAATCCATACTGGCTTGTCAAGAACAGGTACAAAACCCCAAATACTGTATTTTTAAATTGAAATGGGAATTCTCGTTTGGAATCAGTATTTGGTCCATGTCCACAAAGGCTCAATTTTGCAATTCTAGAAATCTTTTTTCCGCTTAGAGTGAACACAGAAGTAGTAATGTTTGATTATGAGATTCTGTCCCAAGCGTGTTGGAGTTATTAATGTGTACTGGTGACACATCATTACAAATTCTGAAAATTTTTCCATTTTTAGATCCCATCTGGCCTCAAGGGTTTTGGATAAAGGGTCACGGGCCTGTAGTATTGAGGCTTGATTGCCTTTTTTCTGTCTCCAGTTTTTCCACAAGGAATAGCAAGCAGAAACATCTGTCTCTGCTGGTTCTTTGTTAAGTCTGAAAACTTGCCCAGGAGTCCACTGTCATTGGATGCCCTGCCTTCTAATTTATATCCAGCTGTCAGGCTTTGAGGATTGTCCGTGTCAATTTTCCCATAACTAAAATGCTTTAATTGAGATGTGGTAATAAGAAGGTATGTGGAGACAGACTGCTGCCTTGGAATCCCAGGTCTGCCTCGGTTTCTCATCTTAAAAAGTTAAGTTATGGACCCACAGGACCACAGGAATCAACACGTTTATAGCTAGGCATAACAGCACTTAGAATAGTGCCTCGCACATGATGAGCACCATTTGAGTATTAGCTGCTGCTATTAATGAAGCCCGTGTTTCCTTAATTCTTGGTCTTCAATGGAAAACCTGCTCCTCTTTCAGCTGGGGTCCAGGATGGGGCTCGAACGGCTACGTAAAAATGGCCAAAGACAGGAACAACCACTGTGGAATCGCCACCGCAGCCAGCTACCCCTTGGTGTGAGCGGATGGACAGGGAGGAGGAAGGACTCGAGAGAACAGCACATCTGGAGGAATTTTATCTGAAAACTGACCAAACCCTTGATGTGTAAGATAAAACACTTGACTCATTGAGGATCCACGTTGTGATTTGAATTCTGTGACATTTTTACAAGGGTAAAATGTTACTACTACTTTAATTACTGTTATTAACCGCTTTACGATACCGAAGACTCATTTAATTCTAAGACTTTCTGAGTTTTCATTTTTTAGAAAGATGTATAAAACTTTACCTTTTAGAATAAATTTTAATTCAGTATGTAAAGGTGGGCCTTTCTGTTTTTAACGCACTGAACTTTTGTGTAGTCAGGAACTCTCATGGGACTCTGAAGATGTAACTCAGTGTGCCGTTGGTACGTTAGGAAAAGGATGCTGGGTGGCCTGGCCCCTCTAGTTATAAATACATGGTTTTCATGTCAGCTGCCCGTGGGCTGTGTGTTACCCAACTTAAATCTAGCAAAATTTGGCAAGCTGTTTAGAAGGACAAAGGTAAATTGTTTTAGTAAAGAAAAAATAATGGCCTTTTCAGAACAGTGAACAGACACAGATTCATAGTTTTAGATACTAGAAAAAGAGCCCCTCTTTGACTCGATGGTTAAGTTATGTGCTGAAGGTCACACTGTTCGCTACTGGAGTCTAAGTCGTTGGTGAACACTTAGTGACTGCTTTGCAGTGTGAGGAAACACCAGACACAAGCTGATTGCCAAGGCTGTTTTGTTTTGTTCTGTTTAGTCTCTTATGGCATGCCTTTTCTAGGAAAACCTCATCTGTTACCTAGTTTTAGCAAAAACAAACGTGATAGTTGTGGTTGACGAATCTCAAGTATTTGGTGATAGCCAGAGAAATGTTCAGGGTCCACAAGCGATCAGATGAGGCTGCAAAATAGCCCTCTGGCAGAAGATGGGTGCAAGATCACAAGTGGAAGGCAAGATGTCACCAGGCCAAACTTAGACTTTGGCTACCTAATCCCTGAATCATAAATAAACTCGAAAGGAAACAAAACAGGATAACCCTATAGTTACACAAATAGGGAATGCAAGTAAGACATTATGTTTGCATGTTAAAAGGCTGGAAAGAAGTGCAACAAACTTCTAGGTGAATTATGGGTGGCTTTTCTTACCTTGCTTCGTAGAAAGCATGTATTTTTACTAGCAGGAAAAACTTGCAAAAATACACCCAAGTTCTCTAGGGCTGAAGAAAAAGCACTCAGGTGTTTAAAAATCTTGTGATTTCCAAACATGGTGACTCACAACTGTAGTGCCAGCACTTCCAGCTCTTTGGGAGGCTGAGGAGGTGAGGATTGCTTGAGCCCAGGAGTTCAAGACCAGCCTAGGCAACAGAGTGAGACCTCATCTCTACAAAAAATCGAAAGGCACAATAGCACACACCTGTAATCCCAGCTACTCAGGAAGCTGAGTCAGAGGGATCGCTTGAGCCCAGGAAGTTAAAGGCTGTGTTGAGACATAATTGTTCCTCTGCACTCCAGCCTGGGTGACAAAGACCCTGACTCAAAAAAATAAAAAGTTTAAAATCTTGTGTTCTCAGTCAAATAAAAAAACGCAAGGGATACGCTGGTAAAATACTTAACTGAGAGGTAATCCACTGTGAAGGGAATGAGAGAGACAAAACCTTTAATAGTCTTTGTCCACGACTCGCATTGGAAAATCAAATCTACAGCCTTCAGTCTGAGTTTTGAGAAAGGGTTCCTTCATCTCGCTGTGCAGTGGCAAGCTAAGCTGGTACTCTCCACAGATTCCTGGAGCAACAACCCAAGGTGCTAAGGAAACACCTAGTGCTAAATTGAATGAAAGTATGGTAGATTTTTGCTTAAATAATAAAGTGTCAAGTCTGTCGAAATAGAGCATCTCTCAAATATCTAAACTAGAGATATTTGAAGGTTTTGTACCTTTTAAAGAAAAGTATTTTAAACTTCTGAAACGTTCCAAACGACATCTTACCATTTTTCAAAGAGGCCAACAAACTTGATAAATCTAGTCTGAAACACAAACTTTAACTACTCGTTTCCTATACTCCAACATCTAAATAGTTTGTTATTCTACTTCACTTGCACAGGAAGTAGCAAAATAGAAATGATTCAGCATGTTAGGAATTTGCTCGTGTGGGAGTGTAGCTGTGACACTTGGACATCTTATTAGAGGTGAGAACTCAGAGTAATTAGGAAACCTCCATTCATAGACCTGCATGTATTTCACATGTGTGTGTTTTGCCTGTGAGAGTTGAAATTGGGTTTTTCTAAACTTCATTTCCCTTTTCATTGATATAAAAGTTTTAAAAGACTAAGAAAAAACTCAGTTTTTTTAACTAATTTTTTTTTTAACCAAGAACAAATATTATATATATGGGAGGGGACCCAAAAAACCAGAATTTGTTTATTAAAAAATGTATGTCCTTACATGCTTACACTTCAGTCACCCTCAAATGACTCTCTGTTTGAAGCCAGACATGAATCGGGATGCTTTTTCCACTGCTTAACTGTTTGAACTCGGCAATTTGATGCCTTTCAGTGCTTCTGCTGTGTGTGTTGTACCTCTTCCACATCAGCAAAACGTTTCCCTTCGAGGACTTTTTTTAGCTGGGGAAGCAAAAAGTCACTTGGGATGAGCTAGGGTGCAGCGGGGTGGAGCACAGGGGTCACGCCCTTTTTAGTCAAGAACTGCTGAACACTCGGTGTCCATAGGTGTGTTGGGCGTCGGATGGAGAGTACTTTGAAGATGGCTGAAGTCGAGCATAGAAGAATAAATACAGTTTTTTGTAAATTCCAGGTTTTTTGGTGTTCCCCCTTGTATCTTCACATTTTTCACCCTTTCAGAGAGGTCTACTCACGTACATATTCAGACCTCTTGGTCACCAGTTGACCAATCATGTTCGAGTCCCTGACTCGAGCTAAATCATCGACTGTAGCCCATGAATTGGGATATAATTTGGTTACATTTGGCCGTTGCTCTTTCCAAGCAAAATGAACAAGCAGGTGCACTGCTCGAAGTTCTGTCTCCCTTCACCACTGGCCTTCGGGGTGTCCCAGAAAGGGGCGGGGGCCTGCAGCTGTTGGGTGCCTGCAGCTCGTGCAGAACCCTCTAGAGACCAGGCCCAAGTTTCTTCTGTCCCAGCAGCTGATTATGGGGAGCTCCTTATGAGGCCATAGTTGGAGGCTGGGGGGAGACGGCAACGTAGCAGGAGTGAGAATCATCGGTGTCTGGACCACTCCTTCATGTAACTTACCTGTGCCTTCGGGGCCTGCTCAGTCCCAATCACATTCATGGTCGTCCCCGGGTATTGACGAGCAATTGGTTCGAGGACCTCTCAGGGATACCACAATCCACAGATGCTCAAGTTCCTTGTCTAAAATGGTGTAGTGTTTGCATGTAACCTATGTGCATCCTCCCGAGCACCTTTTTTTTTTTTTGAGTTGGGAGTCTCACACGGTTGCCCAGACTGGAGTGCGGCCACCGCAGCCTCAACCTGCTGGGCTCCTGCGATCCTTCCACCTCAGCCTTCCCAGTAGCTGGAATTACAGGCACGTGCTACCACACCCGCCTGATTTTTTTATTTATTATACAGATGAGGTCTCGCTGCCCAGGCGGGTCTCGAACCCGCAGGCTCAGGATGAGGGCTCACCAAGTTGCCTGGGCTGGTCTCGAACCCGTGTGCTCAGGCAATCCCCTCGCCTTGGCCTCCCAAAGGGCTGGGATGACAGGCGTGAACCACCGCTCCCGGCCTAGGACACATTTTATTTATTTATTTTTATTTTTTGAGTCGGAGTCTCACTCTGTCGCCCCGACTGGAAGGCAGTGGCCGCTCCCGGCCACCGCAGCCTCAACCTGCTGGGCTCCGGCGATCCTTCCACCTCAGCTTTCCAGTAGCTGGAACTACAGGCGCGCTACCACACCCGGCTAATGTTTTGATTTTTTGTAGAGATGAGGTCTGGCCAAGTTGCCCAGGCGGGTCTCGAACCCGTGGGCTCAGGCAATCCACTCACCTCAGCCCTTTTTTATTTTTATTTTTTATTTTTTGAGTTGGAGTCTCACTCCTTCGCCCAGGCTGGAGTGCAGTGGCACACTCACGGACACCCCAGCGTCGACCTGCTGGGCTCCAGTGATCCTTCTGCCTCAGCCTTCCGAGTGCCCAGAACTATAGGTGCACGCTACCACGCCCGGCTATTTTTTTTTTATTGTAGACACGAGGTCTCGCCAAGTTGCCCTGGCAGGTCTCAAACCCGCGGACTCAGGCAATCCACTCGCCTCAGCCTCCCAAAGTACTGGGATTACAGACTGAGCCTCTGAGACCAGCCCACTTTTTTTTTTTTTTTTTTTTTTTGAGTTGGAGTCTCTCTCTGTCACCCAGGCTGGAGTGCAGTGGCACACTTGTGGCCACCTCAGCCACGACCTGCTGAAAAGAATAAACTCTTTAAAGAGAGAAAGAAAGAACTCTGAGGGAGTTATGAGGGTCATTCTCTCAAAGCAAATCGATATATTGTGGCAGAAGAAACACATTGTCCTGCCCTTGAATCACTTCAAGTGAAAAAAAAAATGATTTGTAGAACAGTATTAATAACTTAGTACAGTTTTTAAAAATACAGACAGACATGCACATTCCTGTATGTGCATTTTTAAGTATTCATGGAGGATATAAACCAATACGCTTCTTAGAGGTCCTAAAAAAAGGCATTTCTGCGGTGTATTTCAGTTTTTAAAAATAGTTAACATGCATTATTCAGAAGATTCTAGTTTCGGTAACAGATTCAGAAGTTTACAGGTTAAGAAAAAAAGGAATTCACAAAGGAGGAAGGGAAACAAAGGGTCCTCGGATAACTTCTAAAGGCAAGCTGCCCGTTCGGGGGTGGATGTCCCTGCTCAGCCAGCCCATTCCTACGGCACAGACATGAGGAAGTGCCACCAGCCAGGTGGAGTCAGTGTCGACCACGAATGTCTCGGCCACACAGAACCTACCAAGAATGGCGGGCTTACCGTTCACAGGCAAGAGAACCAGGGTGAGGGCTTTGCCAAGGACTGAAGGAGGGATGTAAATGAGGAAGTTCACCAAGGGACAATGTTCCAGTGGGACTGTCTTAGTGACGATGTGTTACGACTCTGGTCAGAATTCCAGAACATTTGTTCTCTTTGGTTTCCCCTCCACCCCGCCCAAGTGCCCCCACTGCACACTCCCCAAATCCCAGCCATGGGGCAGCACAGTGAGCTGTTCACAGAAGTGTCCACTCCCAGGCTTCCTCTGTTGTTTCCTGTTGGG